CCTTCCTTCCTTCCTTCCTTCCTTCCTTCCTTCCTTCCTTCCTTCCTTCCTTCCTATTAGCATTCAGTATGCCACCAATTACTCTAGAGTTCTAGTGTCATTAGACACAAAGATATCATATCCATAAATAAAAAATATATCACAATCAGATCATAAAATTGCAGCATGTATATCGTAAGAGCATTGGTTGCTATTATGATGAAGATTCACACTTAGCATGGGAGTCATGCATAGATAACACCAATTAGAAAGGCTGTGCTCTGTGTTGCACATTTTAAAATTGAATTTATGAATGGAAATAAATATAAGGTCATTAATAAATTAAAAATCTTTCCAGTATGCTTCTATGGAAAAATAGAAAGATGATCAGGACCAGAATCATTGATATACGTATATGTGTGTATATGTATGTGGGTGTATACATGCGCACACACACACACATACACTCATATACAGTCTTTATTCCAGAAACTGATACTTGAAACTATACTGGTTTGAAAAAAACACGATTGAAGACATAATGCTAATAGTATTAATAGTGAGAAAGTCAAAATTTTCATTGTGCTACAAAAAAATCTCTTGCAGGACAATTTGATTAAATCACCTGAGATTATTTAAGGAAGAGCGGGGAAGTGATAGGCCTCCGAGGCTGCTAGATTACAACTCCCAGCAGCCTCAGTTAGAATAGATAACAGAGAGGGGTGCTGGGAGTTGCAGTTTCATAACATCTGGAGATTACCGGTTTCCCAATCTGATTTAAATGAAGGTACAGTAGAGGTGGGACAAGGGCTTTATAGTCCAAAGGAAAGGACAAAGCAGAATCCACTCTCATTTCATCTAAAGGAAGAAACTAATTTTACTTCAACTCTACTGATGAAACAGTGTTTCTGTTACATCTCAGCACAGCAAGCTAGTGCAGGAGGTAGAGGACAAGGCTTGTGACATACATGGAACTTCCAACAGCAATACTCAAAAAACTCAGAAGGAAAGGTCAGGTGGCTACAGCTGTTAATCCCTACAATCATCAGAGACAGTTATTTTATTCTGCATTGTAGGGAAAGGCCACTAGGCTTCATTGTAAGTCAGAGACCATCAACATTTATCTCCAGTCATCTTTGCAGCCCTGAGCCCCCCTTGTTAGTAGCATTTGGTCCCTTACAGCCATATTGCAGCTGGAGGCTGCCAATCGGTTTTATTTTTCCCCGCTCTTCTAGCTGTTGGAAGTTTAGCTGCCTCCTGGGTTAGACAATATTACTGCTGACTTTGGATGGCTCTGCTCTATAGGAAAAGCAGCATGGGGCTGGCAGAAGCAACTCAGCTTGCCCAGAGAAACATGGGATCAAGGGAAAAGCCACCTTTGCAAACTCTTCCCCTGCATCCAGCTTGGAAAGTGGCACCAGCCTGTCTGTTCCCACAGCCTTTGATTCTTAGATTTGGAGGTCCTACGCCTCAAAAGATATTGCTCTACTTTGCTTCAGGATCAACCTATAGCCACACCATAGAAAAATGACAGCACAAGTACCAAAAGTTGGCCAATCACTTTCCTACAATTTGGAAGCAGAAGACCCATGAAAGCTGTAATGTAAACCCTAAAACAGCCTTAACAGATTGATTGATTGATTGATTGATTGATTGATTGATTGATTGATTGATTGACTGGATCAATTTATATAGCCGCCCATCTCACCACAGGCAACTCTGGGTGGCATACAACAAAGCTAAAAATGGTCAATAAATACATTAAAAACATAAAAATAAAAATAAAACAGAATAAAAGGAAGTTAAAAATAAGGGAGCCACCTCACTAATCCCCCCATCCCCTGGAGTCCCCAGGCCTGCTGGCATAACCAAATCTTAAGGGACTTCTGGAAGCCCAACAACTACAAGGCCAGCCTCACCCTGGGGGGGGGGGGAGAAGATTCCACAGTGCAGGCGCCACAGCAGAAAAGGCCCGCTGCCTGGGCCCTGCCAAATGTATTTCCCTAGGCTATGGAACCCATAACATCCCCTCTCTGCTGGATCTGGTAGGGTGGGCAGATGTAATCGGGGAGAGGTGGTCCCTCAAATAACCCAGCCCCATGCCATAAGGACTTTAAAGGTCAACATCAGCACCTTGAATTGGACCCGGAAACAAATTGGTAACCAATGAAGTTCATGAAGCAGAAGTGTAACATGTGTTCTACTAGAAACACACATAACTGCTCATACCACTTCATTTTGCACCAGCTGAAGTTTCCAGGT